TTTGTTGTTTCTCTTTAGATGGTCTATACTCTTCATATTTCATATCTTCATGTTGACGTTTCAATTGTGCCTTTGCTCTGTCGACAACTGCAGTCATGGGTGAAATGATTTGTACCGGTTTAGTATCTTCTTTAATGTCATCTATGCCTATCCACCCTCTTCCTGTTTGAGATACTTTCAATCTATTCTGTCTACCAGCTCTAATAAGTTTCAACCAGTGTTCTGGGTTGTCTACATATGGTACTAGTTTCATGGTTTTTAGTTGATGTGTATATATCAAGTATGAGGATTGAAATGATAAAGATTTGAATATTTCACTCAATATATATTGTCAAGTGGCATCAATATCAACTTCTTATCAACATCTGATGTCGTGATATTCTTAGAAACTGATGTCGTGAATTAATGTAGTTCTTGTTGTTATTGACCATTCCAGATTAGAAAGTTGAACGATTATTTATATTCTTAAGATACATTCAATAGGTTCTTCTGTCAAACTTCTGGAACCTTCCAGAATAATGACTCATCGCTATAATCTGTTTTTGAAAAAGGGGATTAACATTGTAAACAAAAGATATTCTAGAATATGAAGGATTAACATTGTGATGACACAATTAAATGTCACCATTCAATTATTACATTAAAAGACCATTATTGTTGAAATCAAGTAGAGTAGTAAGATCAAATGGTCAATTCAATTTAGGACTTAAATAAATAAACCTTTTCAACGGTCAATTCAATATAGGACTTAAATAAATAAACCTTTTCATCTGTACACATATTTAATCCAAAATCCAGTTCTCTTTCCTTTTATGTGAACAGTATTTGTTTGACCAGCTCAATAGGATTATTGATTCTTTTCAATGTTGGGTTAATATTGAAAGTAGAATTGTAAACACTGTTAATGGATTATACCAAATTTAAAATAATATTAAAGGGATTTATTTTGTACTTTACTATTCAGTCCAAGAAATACATTTCTCACCCATTTAGATAACAATGATGTCATGCGCATCTTATCTCTCACCCATTTAAGATAACAATAATGTCATGCGCATCTTATCTAACATTTTTACACATTTAAGATGAAAGCCCTATCCAATTAAGTTATCTCCTAATCCCCATCCAATTAATTTATCTCCTGCTCATCTATATCTCCTGCTCATCTTTATCTCTCAGAGATTTTGAAAGCCCCGGGCCCGTGGCGGCCCGTGGCGAGCCAGAACCTGACATTTTATATCTACTAATGTAGCATTATAGCGGCTGTGTCAACGGTCAAATATAGTGTTGGTGAATCGCTGATGAAAACACAAATGAGAATATCTATACGAATGATGAACAGAGAAACAACTACAGTCGTGCAAAATAAAATGAGACAGTGGTATAACAACAACCAATATGACGGATAATAGTACTGAAGTCGCGCGGGTGTATTCATTGACGACATTCGATAAGTTGATAGTTAGTTTCGAAATTGTCATCTCCGTTATGGCTTCGATTGGAAATGGAACTATCATTGCAACCATTTTTCGGACAACAAAACTACGAACAACTACAAATTTTCTCGTCGCAGGCTTAGCTTTTAGCGACTTCTGCCTTGGTACTTTGGCGATACCACTGCATGCGTTAGGGGAGTACGGATTCTTTACATTTCTTTGTCCGGGTGCGTACATACTGATGGGAACGTTGATTACATTCTCGGTGCTGACTGTGTTTAGTATCGCAAGTGAACGGTTCGTTGCTATAAATTACCCGTTTTTATATGAGAGAAACGCAACTCCATTTCGCATGAAAATTTGGATAGTTGGGCTATTCTCAACGTGTGTTTTAGGGGCTGCGACATATCCAACGATATACGCTATTGCACTTCGAACAAAACGGTTACGTTGTGCTTACTCTTCAAATATACCAGAAGCACAGGGTTTTCCAATGATTGTGCTCGTTTTCATAGTGACCCTAGTGTCAGCCTGTTTGAACGTAGAGGTGCTTGTAGTGGCGCGCAGAAGTGCTCGCCGTATAGCCCCGATGTCAACAGAAGAAAAACGACAAAACACGAAGTTACGAAAAGAAACGAGGGCTGCTATATTTCTCAGTTTTGTAATATTTTATTTTGTATTTTCCTGGGTTCCTTTGATGATTTACCTTATTTTGGAATATAAGGGGTCGAGTATAAACGAGCTCTTATTTATTGGGCTCGCACTGGGTCTGAGTAATGCGGCCATAAATCCACTAGTATATGGATTCGGGTACAGAGAATATAGAATCGCATTGAAAGGCATGTGTTGTTCCAACACTATGCTGTTTCAACGAACTTTCACCATGGACAATACAAACTCGCATTCAAAAGAGACACAAAATTAAAGCAGACCAAACATCAACATACAGCTGTATATATTAATACATTTGATCTTAAATGAAAAACATCAAGAAATTCATGATCAACAATTTCTACTAGTATTGTATACTACAATAATCTGCACCTTTTGACAAAATCATAAATGGCCACTTAGATAGATTGAAAGCCGTGAATTGCAAAATACTTCTTATTTTGCGTGCGCATTCTGATGTTCCTTATGAGACACCACATACTTTACCCTGCGTGCAGAGTCTAGTAAAACTACGAAGACGAAGCTCTCTTTTAAGAAGTGAAGTCAAACGAATGCAAAGGGTACACATACTTCTGCTTGGCATATACAGTAAACATGAGATCAACAATTCCGTGTATGACGTACCGGTGAAATAGTATGCTTGATGTCAATACATGATATAAAGTGCGATATCTTTGTGAAAGTTATCGGTTTTATCATCTCAAATAATTTTATGACCCCCGATAAGCCTAAAACCAGAGCGAGGACGAACAGGTAGACGGGCAGATAGATTAACGGACGGGTGTGTTCATAGTCTAACCGTGTGAGCCAAAGGGAATTAAGATATGCAGTTGTTGAATTGTAATCATTCCGACTCTTCCCTTTCGTATAGGGCATTATTCCATCAAAACGAGAGACAAAGGTTGAACCAGGATGTCACTGAAACAAAGACAATTTTACGGTTGCATTGCATTCGATAAAGTACATATATTATCATGCCCAGCTGATGATGAACCTTTGTTTAAAATTCCAGAGTAACGTTAATCTTTAATTTCTCTATTATACAATGTCATAATTGCCTTGTTTCTGGGCATTTATCGGGTGTCTTTTGTTGTTTACTTTTCAACTTTGTTTCTGAAAAACGTTTTGCACCCTAAATATTCTTTAATCTATAACCATTCTTGTTAGTTTATTCATCGGTATTACATCAGCATTGATAAGGTGTCTAGCTCTTTCATTTCATCATTGATTAAACCGCTATGACATCGCCGTGATTATTAGCCGCCCTCGTATCGATATCAAATTATTATGAAAGAAATAGAAATCCATTGGATTGATTGGGAAACCATTATGAGTAAATGAAGGGAAATGTAAACGAATCTGATGACGTGAATCCGCTTTGCAAAACGGCAAATTGCAGATTTTTGCTAGCTCGATATACTCTTGCTATAAATCGCCATTTTTGGACTATTTGCAAAAGTAACATGTGATATGTTATGTGTTTATTATGTAATATAATGCTAATAAAGATATCATTATAATTCGCCATCATATACTTTTAATGTTTAATCAATTTTTTCCTAACCTCGAGTGTCCTCGAATGATCCAGCTGCATAAAAGTAACAATTCTTTATGTAATCTGAATGTAGTTTCAAATATATCCGCATTTGGCCAATCACGTACTACTCGTAGATAGAGTATGGATTATGTTTCGAAAGTATTGGAAAGGCCTACCTTATCTTGGACTTTAAAAGCTACAGAAGATCCGCTAATAATCAAAATCATTATTTCAATTTGTTTTGATTGCCACAAATCGACCATTTTAGTAGAAATAACGTTACATAGTAACGTAAGTAGAACACTCCCCTCCATAAGTTTGGCAACCTTTGCTCCCCCATTGAACTACGTGTTGACGCCTCTTTATCTTTGAATTTTTATTGACTTAACCCGCGATGAAAATATTTATACTATTGATGGAAACGTAATTTGACTTTATTTCCAACACCCCCAAGTTTTCTCAATTTTTTTCCTCAATTACAATAGGTCGAGAATTGATGATAAATTTGATGAATGTTTGAAAAGCGGCATTCCCATGTTAACCAAGAAAATGTGGATAAAAAATAAACTGACTCAAATATCATAAATAAGTCATGTTCGTGTATGATAGAGGTTCAGATAGAAGATACATATATTGAATAAGGCGTTTTATCCTATACTTGGACGTGTTACAGGTACATAAAGCCGGTTTGTAAAATCTTATATTTTCATCAGCGGGCAGATATAGCTTTACGTCCCGCTCCGAGCGGGCAGATATAGTATATCTGCCCGCTACGTCATAATCGCCGCTCGCATATTTGTTCATAATTTGTAACGTTCGCGTAATGACTGTAAACGACAATGGAGAAAACACAGACTATCGGGATCTGTTTGATGGTTTAAAAAAGGGAAGGGGCATCCACTTAATCAATCAAAATATTTGGGAAATAAATGTGGGAATATTTGAGAGAACAGGAAAATCCGCCCACGGCCAAGAAAACAAAACTGGACATGAATATTCTAAAATATTTCCACGATTGAAAATGTGAACCAGATAACCAAGATTGGTATGGGATAAACATATTATCCTATAGTCGGTTCAGGATATTGGGATTATCCCTTGGCCAATATAATATATTTTCCCTCGGGACCTGCGGCCCTCGGGCAAATATATTATATTGGCCTCGGGATAATCCCAATATCCTGAACCTCATATAGGATAATCTCTATTTCCTTCACCATGTAGATTGTATAAGTCTAGGAATTGTATTTTAAAAAACTGATTAACTTTATACTGAACTGAGCTGAATTTTAATTATTTACATACCGAAGAACGAGTCGCACCGAATGTTGACTCACTTATCGTCATTGTTTAGATAACAATTCGTGTTAACATGCAGTGGTGAATTACAGTGCATGATTTGAAGCTGTTTGAAAACGTTTGGTTTTAGAGGACATTTTATGATACATCTTCATTAACATGTCTGCATTCAGAAATTTCCTTGGTATAATGAGTAACAATGCAATGGCATTGCTTGTACTTGTGGTGATTTTGCTGATAACATGGATACTTTTACACCGAAGTCGATGGATCCTTCCAACAGGGCCCTTTCCATGGCCAATCATTGGCAATCTCTCTATGCTTATGCCCATTGAGGGTGACAACAGTGGGGCCAAGCGTCTATTGGAAATGTCGAAGAAATATGGAACGGATATATTAAGTATAAAAGTCGGTGCCACACAAGCTATTGTTCTAAACAAGCATACCGATATAAAGGAAGCATATAGTAAAGATGAATTCAACTTTGTGAATCATGAAGGGCCTGCTAAGCTTATTGCTCCAGGTATAGCAGCTACTGACGGAGCCCAGTGGAAGGAACAAAGGAGGTTTGCCCTTAGTACACTACGGGACTTTGGCCTTGGAAAGAACAAAGCGCAGGACATGATTCAGGATGAGCTATTAATGGCGGTTGAAGAGTTAGGCAAGAGTGAAGGACGGCCATTTAACGCAGGACCCTTAATATATAATATGGTCGCAAATATTATCTGCTGCCTTATCTTTGGACATCGATTTGATTATAATGACACAAAGTTCAAACAGATCCTTTCCACTCAGAATGAAATTGTTAATAAATGTTTTAAATACGTCGCTTTTGGATATTTAATTCCACCATTGATAAGAGATAATATTCCCGGGGATATTTTTCGAATCGAGTACGTGAAGTACCTCCAAGCTGAGTTGAGAAGAGATGTTAACCAAAAAGAGTACAAAGACCATCTAGCTAAATACATAGACGGGGACCGTAACGACTACATAGATGCTTTTATCAAAGAATTGATTGATCACAAAGATACAGAAAAAGAACACTGGTTTACGGGTATTCTTTATCATTTGTATGCAGTCCACTTATGGGGGATTTACGATCGATCTACGCCGCCGCCGCCAAAGCATAAACACAACACATTTGAAAAAATAGATCACCATATACACTCCCCTCCATAAGTTTGGCAACCTTTTTTCCCCATTGAACTACGTGTAAAAGCCTCTTTAGGTTTAAATTGTTATTTACATAATCGGAGATGAAATAACTTATAATATTGATGGAAACGTAACTTGACCTTATTTCCAATACCTCTAAATTTTCTAATTTTTTTCCCTCAATTACAATAGGTCGAAAATTGATGATAAATTTGATGATTTTTTTAAAATCGTCATTCCTATGTAATCAAATGGGAAATGGAGGGTTCGGGGCAAATCAGAAATCAGGATATATTTTCAGTAAAAGATTCAGCAAAAAATATGTTTATATAGAAAATTGAATTGGCGAAAAATTATTTTCAAAAATGACTTTAAAGCCCTATAACTTTGTTGAACCTGAAGAAACATATCAATTTTTTGTTGAATAAAGTTAGCAAATTCAATTGCCTGCCTAACTCGTATTTTTTGCAAGGACTCGGATGGATGGATATTCTGTCATTAGACTTGCGGCAAACCTACCATTTCCCATTGTTTACATGGGAATGGAGGTATTGGAATTAAAGTCAAATCACGTTTCCATCAATAGTATAAGTATTTTCATAGCAGGTTAAGTAAATAAAAATTTAAGGGTAAAGAGGCTTTAACACGTAGTTCAATGGGGGAAAAAGGTTGCCAAACTTATGGAGGGGAGTGTATGAGATACAATACAATACAATACATATGGGTATACTATATCTGCTCGCTCGGCTAATGAAAATTCAACTTTACAAAATCTGTGCTTTATGGACCTTAAATACGTCCATGTATGGGATAACAATGGATCCTATGATTTTTAGAAAAAATGAATGTAAATGTTTAATAGAGCATGATCTTGTTTCGGAAATTATGTTTATATTTTCAGAGACACAGCTACTTGACAGTATCACTGATTTATTCCTTGCTGGGACGGATACCTCTTCAACGACAATTAAGTAATCTTAATATACAGTCTCATTTTAAAGGACCCTGTTTCAAGTAAACATGGGTATGTGAATGAATGGCGATGGCTATCCATAACGCATGCAATAGTCAGAATAGTATATTACATAAATTGTAGTTTTCTTAAGTTCAAGTGCAAGTCTGTACAAAAGTGCATGTGATAATAAGAATCATAAAATGCCAGTTCAGAAGATGACACGATTGATGGTATTATATTGAATTACCCACTTTACCGAAAATAAGAACTCCGAGTAAATACAATTCATCTTTATTTCAGATGGCTTTTGGTTACTATGGCCAACTACCAGGACGTACAAAAAAGGGTCAGGGCCGAAATCAATGACATTTTGGGAGATGGTAGATAACCAGTCATGACAGACAAACAGAATATGCCATTTACAGAGGCGACGATCTTAGAAGTAATGAGAACACAACCTATAGCACCATTAGTGAATTCTAGACACAGTTCAGACCAACCTACCCAGTTCAAGGTATTGTATTGGGTGTCCTTGCCAACGCAGATGCATTAGACCGAACAAATACTTGTTGATGTACATCACGCCCAAACATCACTCTTAAGATCGTAAATCTACTACCCATTTCCCGCGAGTGTTTATTCATATCAATTAAAAAAATCATAACGCAAATTATAGAACAATTTGGATATGAACAATTACAAAAAGGTCTGCAAAAATCTAATCAAATGTAAAAAAGATAATGTACACGACTAAAAAAATGTAACCAAATTCACTAACTATATATCATACTAATAACTAGTATAACTATATAATGGGCGTTCTTTTTGATCGCCTGAAATCAAATCATATAAATTAAATTTATTTTAAGGGTTATGTGCTGCCCCCTAGAACTATGATCATTGCAAACATGTATGCGCTGATGAATGATCCCGACCACTGGGTTGATCCTGAAATATTCAACCCTTTACGATTCATCGGAGAAGATGGCAAAGTTATTAAAGATAGCTACATGTTGCCTTTTTCAATTGGTAGGTTATTTTTTATACTGCTACTACTTTGTTTTTATTTAGCCTGTTATTAGTAAGAAACGTGCAATATCAAATGAGGACTTTCGACTTTCAAACTGAAATGGTGGGGTTAGACTACGTGCTAAGGTGTATTGTGGACTGGTTATCATTCCTCCAAGGTATTGTTTCAAACTTTGCACGAGATTTGCAGAATCGAGTAATAAGTTTAGGAAACATCGCCTGAGTCCAGTTGTCACCTTGACAACCATTCATCAAATGACCTTGGATAGACTGTTGGTTATATAGTACAATGTAGTTATATGAAATAGCGTCTTCGGATAGGCTGGAATCGAATATATTTTGGCTAGCTATGTGTGAATGTTTGTGTCACATACCGTGTATATTGTAGATTTGCTACTATATTTCTTCCAGGCAAGCGCCAGTGTCCAGGGGAGCCTTTGGCGAGAATGGAACTCTTCCTATTCTTTGTTGGTATCTTGCAGAAGTTCAGAATTGAGATACCACCAGGAAGAGAAGCTCCGTTGAAGGTGGAGCTTGGAAATGGAATGAATGCACCTGTTGAATCTGATCTTTGTTTTATAAGGGACTAGAGACACTTGCTACTCTGTTTTCCCTCCCACTATATTACAGGTTTAGCCAAAAGTGTAACCCGAGCAAATGTCTTCCAACATGGATTTGAACTCATAGTTGGAAGAAGTAAACCTTGTTCATTCTACTAAGTTTCATCGGTTTACTTATTGTGTTCACGATTTTATGGCCATTTAAAACTATTCTCCAAATGCGGAAAAATCACCAGATATGGATTTCCAAATTCTTATCTGTGGATCCATTTTAAAGATATTCTCCACATTTACAACCCTAGATGCAATATGGGCATAGGGGGTGGAGGTTTTGGGCCTAATGCGAACTCCCATTTGCCCTCAACCCCCTTTCTTTATGAAACAAACACCCAGCCGGTGTGAAGGAAAATATGGTCCCCGTGGTATTATGGTCCCCCTTCTTAACGGCCCGGATTGTGTATACGATAATAAGGGAAATAGGTCACACTATAAATCAATGGAAAGTGGGACCATAACTTGATAGGACCTCCTACCCTTTTACACCGGTAACAACCCCTTTTCTGAAAGATCAACAAACCGAATGCCAGTGTAAAAGGGTAGGAGGTCCTATCAAATGATGGTCCCACTCTCCATTGATTTATACGGTGACCTAAATACAACTCTTTCCCTTATTATCGTATCCACAATCAGGGCCAGTAAGGGCCTTTAAGAAAGGGGACTATAATCCCCAGGGGACCATCTCGTACACTAGCTATTTGATGATTGTGCATACGTTATTCTGTATTTGCAAGATTGGTTTGTCTTGCAAACCCCCATCCCTCTTGTATTTTACCCTCCCCCTCTTCGTTAATAACCAAACTTCCAGGCGGGGAAGATTGCCCCCCCCCCGTGGTAAATCTTGGCTACGCTTCTGTAGAACCATTAGGGTTGAAACAAAAGATAAGAAGGATGATTCGAGCCATTAAACATGATATCTGTGAGCATCTAGTCATCTGGTGTGTTCAAATTAGCCTACAGAGATGAGACTGGCAAGTTGAGGATGTTTTGTAAAATAACCATTAAATCGTGGTCATTCGAGATAGACCAATGCAACTTGGTAGAATGAAAATACAATGAACAAGATTCAATTGAACTAAATATGCTGATTTTAAACCCATGCAGGATGACTGAGTTACTTACATTTGTTTAGGTTACATTTTTTGGCTCACCTTATCTTCCAATGTTTCTTTTAAAAAACAACGCAATTGCAAATATCAATGGTCGAAAATAGATAGCATCAGAAAAAGATACTCGACGGTTCAAGAAAACCAATAGGAACGATACATAAATATTATCAAATCATATCAGTATGGTCATTCATAAGAACATGACAAAGTTAAAGTATTCCTTGTTAAAGCATGCCAAGTATTTGTAACCATATCTGAGGACGCCAAAACGACCGAGGGCACTAAACAATGGATTTTGCTCAACGATGTTTTTTATAGTCCCCTGTTTGATAGATGTCGTTTACATGCACACGATGAAATACAACGACAAACAACGACAACACAATACCTATAACGTTGTCAATTGCTGAACAGAAAACAGGCCAAGAGTGCGAAGATACTTAGACCAGAAAGGGATCATTGTAATTTTAGCTTTACTAAGATGAAAAATGAAAATGATATATCATAATGAAATTACGGGATCTCTAAGCTAACAAAAATATAGTTTAGAAAAGAGAATAGTCTGACAAGCAATAGATTGATAAAGGAGAGCAGACAAACATAAAGTTCGCCATCGCCATCTTTATATCAGCCAACAATCTATAGTATGGAGTTTCTAAACTTTGAAATAGATGTCACGTAAATGTTGATAAGGTGTCACATAAACCATATAGATTTTTATCCTATGCCAAGTAGAGTTTTAGGGAGATAAGTTTGTAATATATTTCCCGTATCCTGATTTTGAGGTTTCCATATCCAGAACCTCCATATCTCCCGCCATATCTCCCGCTTCGTTGCATATCTTCCCGCTTCCGGCAATGCAATAAAATGACTTTGCATATGAATGATTTGTTTATTTTTACACCTTGTACTATTAAAATGGCCATATGCCCCTGAAAACTCTACTTGGTATAGGATAAAGCAGTTATGTACGGTCGGTTTGGATATTGGGTTCATCCCTCGTGAGACATGCACATCTACCTTCGGTCCCTACGGTCCCTCAGGTAGATATGCATATCTCCCTCTGGATAAACCCCATATCCAAAACCTCCCAGTACATAACCCTTATTTATCCCATACGTGGACGTGTTACGGGTACATAAAGCCGGTTTGTAAAAACTTATATTTTCATCAACGGGCATAGCTTTACGTCCCGCTCTTAGCGGGCAGATATACTGTCATAATCGCTGTTCCCGTATTGGCTCTCTTTTGTAACGTTCGCATACTGTACTCGATAATGGATAAAAACGCAGGCAATCGCGATCTGTTTGATGCTTTAAAAAGGGAAGGAGCAGTATGCCCCGTTAATAATCAAAGATTTGAATAGGAAAATCTGGCTACAGACAAGAATATAACGTCCCGAGGGTAGATATATTAAATTGGCCAAGGGATAATCCCAATATCCTGAACCGACTATAGGATAATCTCTCTTTATCCTATGACAAGTGAGGTTTCAGGAACATAACAGCGGGATATAAAATCGATATCTTTGAGGAGCGGGACATATATATATATATAGCTCCCGCTGTATATCTCCCGCACCAATATTCCCGGGAAAACGGTTTCGCTCGGTGTAGAAACAGTCAAAATTCGTTAGAATATGTTCTTTTAGATTATTGACTTTCATTCAATATACATATTTCATATACCACAAATAAAATCAACATTAGTTTAAAAAGTTAAACTCTTCAATTTATCAGTTGGGGGAATAATCAATATCTCATAGATAAAAGTCACTTGTCATAGGATAAATTAGTTATGTGATGCTCGGTTCTGGATATGGGGTATATTACTCGGGAAATATGATATCTTACCTCGTGCCCTCCGGGCCCTCGGTAAGATATCAATATTTCCCTCGGGATATACCCCATATCCAAAACCTCCCATAACATAACCCTCATAGATCTCAATTCAAAACGAAGACGACGTTATACTAACACCAATGATGTCTTTGATGTGTATGTAATGTAACCTAGTTTTGTTTGCTTCACAAGCGGTGTACACAATAAATAGGGCATGTGGATTTAATCAAAATTCATGAATGTACGTGTCATAGCTATAGTTGTACCTTTGACGGGAACCGCACATCATCGGGCAAACACAACCGAGACTGGCAGTTACATGATATGATCAGCGCTAAAAATTTATATTGAGAATTTCAATTTTCAATTAGGGACCATTTCAAAAGATCGATATGTGAAGATGAACATTATTTAACCAGCAAGGGGAGGGGGTTATTAGCCTTAAAATGAGCGTTCTGGCATAGTTCTCGGGAATTTTGTTAGCGCACGCTACTTTCGTCTAGCTCAGAATAAAACAACTACTTCAAAAGATCGACATCGGAAAATTCATGTATATTTGAACAACAAGCCTTAAAAGTTAGCGTTCCGAAACAGTTCGGGAATTTTGTTAACACACGCTACTTTCGTCTAGCTCAGAATAAAACAACTACTTCAAAAGATCGACATCGGAAAATTCATCTATATTTGAACAACAAGCCTTAAAAGTTAGCGTTCCGAAACAGTTCGGGAATTTTGTTAACGCACGCTACTTTCGTCTAGCTCAGAATAAAACAACTACTTCAAAAGATCGACATCGGAAAATTCATCTATATTTGAACAACAAGCCTTAAAAGTTAGCGTTCCGAAACAGTTCGGGAATTTTGTTAGCGCACGCTACTTTCGTCTAGCTCAGAATAAAACAACTACTTCAAAAGATCGACATCGGAAAATTCATCTATATTTGAGCAACAAGCCTTAAAAGTTAGCGTTCCGAAACAGTTCGGGAATTTTGTTAACGCATGCTACTTTCGCCCAGTGTACTTCTGGCCATCCTCCTAAGCAAGTGTCCAGAATCCGTACCTCCTTCTTCTCCCTACTATAACCAATTTTGAAGCGCCCGATTAAACTGAACCACGTGTTCGTATTATGCGCAATGACTTATACATGATTTCTGTTGCAGTGTTGCGACAGCCAATCAGATTGGGAAATGCTAACTGCTTATCGCAGGGGGTAAAAAGAAATAATATTTTCTGGATTTTGAAGCCCTGTGGTCGGAGGTTGACTTCTGGCACGAAAAATTAAAAGAAAAACGTGAACATCATGAAGTAAAGTAGACTTTAAATTAACCTTTTGAAGCCAAGCTAGGCCAAGTAACAAATCCAAGTAACAAATGGGATGTCGTCTAAATCGAAAATGACTATACTGTAGTACAACTATGTTAGATATTGTATGACTTTTGAATGCATATCAACATTTCTGAGTTACAAAGATATGAGGGGGGTTCACAGATTATCTGTCGAAGTACAGTTAGCAATACATTGAACTTTTGAGATGCTCCCTAACATATCGAATGTCTGGTGACTTGAGTGAAGCATTATAATAATGCAAATGCATTTAGGACCATTAAACATGCATTTATTTCAAAGTATTTTATCAAAAGAAAGTTTGCTTAAACTTTTTACCTTTAATATAACACAGTAACAATGTTCGGAAATGTTAATGACTTTTTATTGCAGTTCAGTCATATCGGGTAGACATAACTCATTCTATACATGGCCAGTATATTCCTGTGATAAAAAGTTCATTCATACTATACAACCTTAGATGCTCAACTCAGTAAAATTAGACGACAGAGATCATTTCTACACATTTTAAAACAATTTTTGTTTAAATTGGATAACAATTGTTCAAATAAGAGCAATTTTAATGAAAAATTAAAATTTGGTGACGGATTTTGTCGTCACTTTGGGTTTCAAGGTCATTTCTGAGCGGACGGGAAATCTCGTCACTCAAGGTAGTCAAGAGGTTAAAATAAACATTATATTAGATATAATGTCTTTATTTACATGAAGTTTTGATCAAGGGAGTTTTCTGTGCCCTTTTTACCAATTTTTGAAAAGACCGCGCTAGCCGCCAGCCAATCAGAGGATGGGAAAGTAGGTCAAGTAATTGATCGTCCCAAAAGTTCTGCAAAGACTCGGTCGTCTACATCGCTGTATTTTATCGCAAAGTGTTCAACTTTTAAAGAGAATTTGGGTAAGTAGATTACTTTATCGCTGTGTCCAGCTCCTACTGTTCATGGTGGGCCAAGCTAGACGCTATTAAGGCAACAAGGGACTAGTTATTACGAGTTAAAGTTAGACTTGGGAAAACTTTGAAAACATTTTTAATGGAGGACCCCGCTCGATTACGATGCACTTTTTGATGACGCAATTTCACCTTAATAGCGGTGATTAGTAGCAAAATCCTTACACATTTAGGTAAATGGATATCTTATGTTAAGAATTATATGGTTTTTGGTAGAAGTTTAGGTCGTGTTTATGCCTTTTAGAGGCAGAATGTGAGACCGCTATTGTGAAAAACTTTTAAAGATGGCGATCCAGAAATCTAAAGCGGGGTTCAATTTTAGGCAAATCCCTGGTATTTAAGTTAGGTATAGCTGGTAAAAAAGTTCTCTGACGATCGATACGAGGCAATCCTAAGTTTAGAAAGCCATAGTCAACAGAATTATATCTCTAGAGGGAAGGAATGTAGAGTTGAAATGGGCTAGTGAATCGGGGAAAAGATAAGATTATAGGTGGCATGGTGATCACGTGTTTGGCGCGTGCTGGATGCGTGCGGGCACGGGTAGGAATCGGGGAGATCGTACACTCGCAGTGTTGACTAATTGGGACACAGTGGTTCTCACCAAGCTTAAGGCAGGGGCTTTAGGTTTCAATGCGTTAATCACTATCAATATTTTCAGATTAGGGGGCAATGGGCCCGGTGCGCATGCTCATAGCAGGGCATAGCTTTGTGTCAAGAGTGGAACAGCCCCCTGTTGATTGGAGTCTCCCTTCAGGCTTAGGTTTGAAAGATGCCCTCATATCATACGAAGGCCTTAGTGGGGCTTCTACAGAGAGCCTATGGTCCAAGAAGCTCCAACACCTCAATTTGAAAAATTTTGACGGGGTATTTCTCCAAATAGGGGGGAACCAAATAACTGGGAGAGACTGTGTTGGCGAAGTCAGACTAGTAGTGGAGAAGATACTAACACTAGCAGAGAAACTATACCAGAAGATACCTCAGGTGTACGTGGGGAAATTATTCTTTAGGGGTGTATCGGATGTTCCTTCATGCAGGCTTCGTACAGACGCCCAAGCAGAGGCATATAATCTGAAAGTTAAATTGATTAATCGCCTTCTAAAAGAGAAGCTGAGGGAGAGAGAGGGAATTCATTTGTGGTATACTAAAGGGGTGACATTGTACGCACAAGATCTTCTCCAAGAAGATGGAACGCACCTAAACAAGCGAGGTCATAAGAAGTTCTGGCGAACTCTTAGAGGTGCAACAATCCAAGCCCACAAGAGTAGGTATCATAAAAGCTATGCCATAGCGGCTCATCGTGCAATGCTTACATATCTTTCTGGCCGTGGGAAATCCATGCATAGTCGCAATTTCACTCGCTTAGTAGTTTTAGTATCTAAAAATTATGATTGATGTCGCTTTTCTTTAGCACTAGTAGGTATCACAGATATCAATTGATAAGGCAGACGCATTGTTTTGAAGTTGTTGGGTACATATCTCACTTTTTATGTTGGGTGCTGGGATGCTTCTTAAACGCAGACGTTTAGTAGTTTTAGTACCTAAGAATTATGATTGTTGTCGCATTTCAATAACACTAGGATATATCAATGAATAAGCAGACGCAATGTTTTGAAGTTATTGATTACATATCTTGCAATGTTATAGTGGGAGCTGGGATGCTTCTTTAAAGGCTTGGATTACAATTACGCAGACGCTATTTAAAATTTGGGCATTTTTGAGAATAGTTGTAACAGCAGCAAAAATTTTTGTACTTTTAAGTATATAGGACAATTTTTATTGTGTTAAACGCAAGTTTTTTGACAAGGACGCTATGCCTATGAAGTCATTATATCGCTTTATTAATTCAGTCGCTTATCGCTTTACTAACGCATTCGCTATGTCAAATTAGGATCCCAATTGCATGTCAAAAATGGCTAATGGGAACATATCTGAACTATATTTAAAGTTAATATTTCAGTTTAATAATATAAGTAAAGTCTTAAGGTACTTCACTTGTGTTATGCAATGCATGGTGGTTATATCTTAAAATTGATAAAATATTTTTGGTAGAGGTTATACTCTGCTCAGGGAGTTTAATAATTTCTTTTTGTAGGTTTAAGTCGGAGAGATGAACTATCCTCCAGGTATACCCCCGCAGGGCGGATTTTTGGGGATGCTATTAAATCAAAACCAAAACGCTGGTTTTCAACATCAACAGGGCCCGCAGCAACAACAGGCCCCGCCACAACATCAGGCACTGCAACAACAGCAACAAGCCCCGCAACAGCAGTATGCCCCGCAACAACAGCAACAGGTCCCTCAACAACAAGCCCCGCAACAGCAACAAGTACAGGCCCCTCAACAACAACAGGTCGCACAACAACAGGCCCCGCAACAGCATCAGGCCGCATATCAGTTCTTACAAGGACAACAGGGAGGCCCTCAGATACAGCAGGTACCAGCAGGCATGGGCCAGCTGGACCAGCAAGTAGGACCAGTAAGGGGACTCGGAGGCATCAACCGACCAATGGGTCACGCCGGCATCAACATGGGACCAGCATTAGAACAACAACAGATGGGTTTTCAAGGCATAGGCCAACAAAGGCATCCAGGACAAGCAGGCATGGGCCAGTTTGTCTTCAACGTCCCCGGACACCAAACGAATGCAGGGGTCATTCAAGGAGGCCAATTCCAACAAGACTACCACCAGTTTCAGGCCGGCATGAATCCGCAAGGGAACGGCATGATGGGAGGCCGGCTAGGCACAGGGGTGCTGCCGGGTATGAATATGGATATGGTACAGCCAACTCAAGGGACACAGGCTGGTATGGGCCAGCCTATGATAATCGCCCCCGCAGGATCATGGGATACCTCAAAGAACACTCTAATGTTGCAAGGTACGCATCTTGACAGCCATATCGGTTCTAGTTTAAGACAAAAAATCATTAACGATGAATACGTGGATTTCGCGACGTTAGCTAAAGATGAAAATAAACAAATTTTACAATGTAACACCCAGAAAAATGAGGACGGGTCAACTTCGGTAGTTTTGGCGCCAAGTGATAAAAAGAAAAAGATCTGGTCAGTTTCAGAATGGCAAAATGCATTCTATGTGTTCATGACAGTATATGTTCCTTATCATCCTAATGAGACCTTGAAATTGTTCAAGTATGGAGCGCACATTCTGTCTCTTAGCTTGTCACCAGGGGCTGATTGGGTGAAATACGATGAGAATTTCCGCAGAAATAAGAAATTCGGTTTAGACTGGGCGGTACCAAACAATGAGCTTATGTTGGCGGCAACTTTGTTAAAATCTCCTAATCAAAATTCTGCTCAAAACAATAAAAGAAGTGGTGCAAATGTGAGTTCTTTTCGTGATGGAAAACCCATATGCATCCGATGGAATAAAGGCCACTACTGCAATTTTTCAGAATGCAAATACAGGCACGTTTGTTCAGATTGCGGACAATTCCATAGAGCATCAGGATGCTCTTCAAAATCCGGATATCAAAATCAAAACAAATCACAAAATAAATTCAGTCCAAAAGCTCCATACACCCACCTAAACTATTAAATCAATTATCTTGATGAAATACTTCCATATATATGCTTGTAAGTATTTTCAGCTTTGCCATAGGAAACTCTAATAAAGATTGGAAGGGCACAGAAGACTAAACTCCCGTTTAGGCAATACAAACATTATTCTGTGTGACAATCATTAATAGTTTACTAGAAAAAAATTATTAGAAAATAAATAATGCATTGTCCGGTGTAAAATAATTTATGGTCCCCTTTCCTTACAACCCTTGCTGGCCTTGACTGTGTATAAATAATAAGGAAAAAGGGTCACCATATAAATCAATAGAGAGTAGGACCAAAAGTTGATAGGACCACCTACTCTTTTACACCGGTATATATTTATTCTAAACCGTGTGCGCATTTTGATATGGGTTCAAATACATTTATAGGCTACTCCGGCCTGTACCCTTCAGCTATCAATTGATTCACCCCTGAAGAGTCAACAGGTTTTGAATATACTGTATAATAATAAATCTATATTGAAACCCAATATGAATCAACCCGGAATTGAAAAGCACACCCATTGCACGTTTAATAGCATTTCTAAATCTGTACAAACATATAAAGGAACATTTACGCATGTGGCTTGACCGCATAAATGTAAAAGGCTTATTGAATACAGAAGCATGTGTATAAATACATTTTATAATTCATCATGAATGTAAATATATTTTTGAAAATTTAGTACAGTATTTACACAACCCGGGAGATTGTTACAGCCAATAAAAGGTGGAATAAAGTTAAACATAACAGTAAAGAACCATAAAAATAGCCTTTTTAGAACAAGAATATCGCAGTTACAAAAACATATATATTGACGACATTACGAAAGGTAAGTCAAGGTAAGGGGCATGCAAAACAGCACTTTTTATGATCTTGGAATAAAATCATCTAACTGATAAGAGGTAGGAAACGTGTAAGAGATATATAACTACATAACAGAAGGAATATATATGCAACGAATACCGGTATGAAGCTGTAAGAATCTTGCAAAGACATACGGGAAGGAATACGTAACAAATTCCAAAATCAAACTGTCGTTATCATTGAATGTCGATATCGAAGAAACGTGCTAAGAACGTGAGATATATGACGTCTATGGCGGTATTAGCATATGGGTATGATTTAAAATTTGTAGACATGGCGAAACACAGCAAAAAATGTGAATCAAACCACTGAATCCTGGAGTCAGGATTCATACAGGATTCATATGCACATATGAATCCTGTATGAATCCTGCCTCCAGGATTCATACAGGATTCGCTGTTTAAATAGTTTACAAATGAATCCTGCCTTCAGGAATCATACAGGATTCATATGCAATATAGTTTACAAATGAATCCAGCCTTCAGGATTCGTACAGGATTCATATAGAAGGTAGTTTGCAAATGAATCCTGCCTTCAGGAATCATACAGGATTCATATGCAATATAGTTTACAAATGAATCCAGCCTTCGGGATTCGTACAGGATTCATATAGAAGGTAGTTTGCAAATGAATCCTGCCTTCAGGAATCATACAGGATTCATATGCAATATAGTTTACAAATGAATCCAGCCTTCAGGATTCGTACAGGATTCATATAGAAGGTAGTTTGCAAATGAATCCTGTAGCCAGGATTCAAGCAGGATTCATATGCAATATAGTTTACAAATGAATCCAGCCTTCAGGAATCATACAGGAATCAAACGAAAATTGGAATTGATGTGTATGTTTCTATTCTAACACTCACATTGGCGTATCGCATATATTACGCCAAATGCGCACAGGCGTACCAAATGAATTCGAAAAATTTAATAAAAATGTGTAATTATTTAAAAGTTGTTCTGTGTGCTAATTTAAAATACATTGTTTTATTTATATTGTCTTCCCCGAATGGGTATATAAACTTTAAATATACATGTAGCCATGTTTATTGAAAAAAGGACATTGGTTTTATTCGGTCCGTTTTATTCTTATTGGTATTAACTCGCAAATGTCACTACTGGAAATGGTTTTGTGTGGCCATGGCAGGGCAAGAAGGGCCCCCGAGGGTCAAAAGGGGCCGTTCTGTAAGATAACTTCTTCGGACGGGAGGTTTTTTACCACAGACTTACAGAAGTGGTGCCGTTAAAAGAGTTTCTTCTTGGAGAAGGTGCCGCCTAAATGAAACAAAGTGCAATGGCCATTGAGATCGATGCTGTCCCTGTCAGGAGATAATATCAGGCGATGTATATTTGATGATAAACAAACTTGGTGGGCCATCTTGCCCAATGGTTCTTCTTATCCTGGGTCTCTTACTCCGCTCCTACGCCCATTTCTCATTTCTTAATGCTAATATAGAATGCGTCACGTGTTATGAAAGATTAGTAGGCCTCAATATTACAATTTGAACCCGATTTTGAAGCATCCTTCAAGATCGGTCCTTCACTGCTTTCATAGCAGCTCATGAATGTCACAATGCAATGAATTACTCTTGGGCCGCAGGGATGATTTTGAAGCACCCCTGTAAGCCTTTAAATTACATTGAAATGATAGGCCCTAGGATAGATACGATCAATAATTCATTGGGAGTTCGATTTGGTATCTTTGGCGTTTGCTTTGGAATAGCCTAATCCCGGGGGAATAATCACGAATCTCGCGAATCTACCCGGGGAATCTACCTTACGTGAAAGTTAGTTAGCCTACATTCTATTGACAACGTAACATTCATTTGTCATCGTGACCTGCAGGTCATGCGAACCATCAACATGCAATGGTGTATGTTTACAAAAAACTGGAAATCAGGAGTTTTATTAAGACGGGACTTCCCCTTTTTATGTCACCACCAAAAGTGGTCACATATTGTTAAAGTCTCCAACTTTTTTATGTACGGTGTTTAGCGTCTGGGGTCGGCGTTCAGCGTCTGTAACAAATGGCGGGTGGTGACATTTTTCATGTTTATGCCTTGTTTAATATTTAAGGCTCCAAATGAAATATGATATCTGATATCATCATGATGTTATTCTTATTATATTATTCTGTTTTGCAGGTGCCAATGAGTATGACACACAAGCAGTGACAATTGAGTTATAGCCCAGGGAGTTCAAGTTTATGCATCTTGCCTCAAGTAAAGTGTTAGTCCTTAAAGACAGGACTGTTGGGGAAATGGCACAGTTGCTTGATGCAAGAGTAAAACTTTGAAATAACCATAGATAATATTACAATAGATAAAAGTTTGGCATGCATTATTTTTTTTCGTTTCATTATTAGATTTGAGAGCAGGTAGACGTATACAGCAGTGCAGTGAATTATGTTTGTATTTTAAGAAGTTGTTTTTCAGGTGTGACCAGCGATGATTGCAGGCATGAATACACTTTAAATATATTTCCTAACATATTCCTTCAGTAAATACACCCGTTTGCATGTTTTAAATAAGCCGTAAATAAAATGTTTAAACTTTGTTAGCATGGTCTATAATCTACAACGACCGTCAACCTGTTTAGGTTTTGATTTGTTTTGTTGAAATTAGATTAAGAAATTAGTCTTTCAAATGTCACCAGCATGGGCGTAGCCAGGGGGGGTGCGATGGGTGCGATCGCACCCCCCCCCCTATAACCTTTGAAAATATGACCATTGGATAGAGGTAGAAAAGAGCTTTAAAATGCTTTTTATTTGAAGCTTCTAGCTCAATTTTGAAGGAAGTTGCATCAATTTTTGTAAAATTCAAAAGAAAACTTAATTTTTTGTGTTGCTTATGGCAAAATCGCACCCCCCCCCCTGACCGAAAACGAAAACTCTTTAGGGTTGAGGATTCACGTCGGTTTAAATTAGAATAATTCTTTACTATCTGGTTTTGTTTGCTTCATTGTGAAATGTTCATCGAATTGTTATTTTTCGAATCATTTCCATTTCGTTACATAAGTTATTTGGAATAAACTTAATTTCAGCTAAAATGCAGGGTAGTGCATGGCTGTTTTTGAAAATTTTTATTTTAACCTTTTGTTGCTTATCACCGTATTAATTATGAGCACAAGTTTTTATGTTTGTTTATTTGTTTTTATTTCTTATACAAGTACAAGTAAGTTATACATTGCAAGTCACACCCGTAGCAAACCCTACATTGCCTTACAAAGTTAACATGAGCAGTTTCGAGAAACATTAGAATATGGGAGGGGTTCAAGAAGAGACCCGGTGTAAAAGGGTAGGAGGTCAAGACAGTATCTGTTGGAATGTTATATATTTCCCTATCCATTATATGATAGGCGTATGCATGAGTGGAGGGTTGTGGAAATAGGGCCTCGTGAGAGATACATGTACTTGACAGTCAGTAATTGTTTACACCCCCCCCCCTTCCTTGAAATGCTGAACTAATGTGCTTTTTGTTCATTGAAACAATACGAAATCAAAATTGATTAGTTTCCTAATTACAATAAAAACAAACGGCTGATTAGAAGATTACAGTGACTGTTTCCCGTCATTACATAACAATGTTGAAGGTGGGCAAAGGAAATCGAGTCTGTATTGATCTAGTTAATAAGCATGATACGTGATTATAAACGTAGAGTAAAGGAAATGCCAGGATTTTTTTTAGCATTCTCATTGTAATCAGAACTATGTGAATTTATACCATTCGCTTAGACATGGGCTAAAATTTTGATTCTTTTCAGCCTAATATTCTATCCAACAGCATTAAATGATCAAACTCAATTATTTAGTAAAACTTCAATAAGGGATCACGTGAATTTCGATACAGCGGTAAATGAAAGTTTTATGCTTATTATGCGGGAACTATGAAATATTAGATTTAATTACCTAGGTACCGTATTCGAGGGGACATTTTATCCTTTTTAGATTTTATATCGATTTTGACATTTTTGGCCTCTGGCTATGAAATATGTCTCTGATATTTATGTATTTCCCGAGAGAAAATTGGACATTTGCGGGGCCTGATGCAAGACTAGTTATCTGTTTTCCTGGCTTGTTTGAAATGGATAAACTTTGTCGTATGTTTCAATGAAGCCCATGTGGGACTGTAGACCTAGAAATTCATATTTATATACTATAGATCGAGATAGAATAGTAATACAAAATATAGTATTCCAATTTCCAGTATCATAATAGACACCAACTTTTAAATCCTAGTAACAGATTTAGAATTCCTATTTTAAAATCAATGTCAGTTTAAAGTGTGCGCCTGACCCGGCTACGTATAGCACAGAGTTTATACTGGCGGATTAGACTAGTTCATTTTTTATATGTGTGTGAAAGCTTTCTCTTATTCGTTTTTTCGTTTAGTACGGTTTTGTTATAACTGCCGAGGTCATATAACCGGGATAAAACAATGATTATCGTTGACTGCCCACACACAAAACATACGTTGAGTGAACAGTGTTATTACAAACAACATGCTTTAGAATACAAAGCGTAGTGTGATAATAAGCTGCACACTACCACTGCTGCATGTACATATTACTAATTTACTAGGGCTCCCAAAGAGTGGATAGGGAGGTTGTGTTTGTCACTTTTAAATTTTACATTTCAAAATTGTCATTTTACATGTCATAATTTGTTGGTTTCGTTCGTTTAGCCAATCAAAACATTGTAAAACAATAAATTGTCTGTTACGTACAATCAATTTTGTTCAGTTTTGATTAGTTGTCAGAATAAAGTTACGTTCATCTGAATCCATGTATGAAAACAAAAATCCTATTTTCACTTCAAAATACTTCAGTGAGATGAAGGCTCGGAATTGTCACATGCAATAACTTATTGTCGTATTCGTTATTTTATCTTCTCGATAGTAGCATTTAGTCGCACATTTGATGCCAGGTCACCTTGTCGCGTACCTCTTGGGGAACCCCACATTTATGT